TAGGAAGATAATGAAGGTAGTAAATAGTGAAGATAATGACATTAAGAGTTTCATAGATTACAATAGGAGTTACATAGGTTACAAAGAGTAATGGAGGAATTAAGAATAAAATAAAGTGATGGACAACCAATGTTAATGGATGATGTAGAAGTTATCCATTCCAATGTTTATTGGAATCTTTTTATCTCTACAATGAATTCAACCAATAAAGCCAAAAGTAACATGGCTACCGAGTCAAAGATGAATAGCATAATTAAATTGGTAGTTTAAAACACAAATGCTGCCAATGTTCATTCTTATAACTCCAAAATAAAGCAATTTATTATGTTAAATATTAATATTAAAATGCTAATATTATTGAAACTTCATGTCCTATGTTCGCACGACTTCAAAACGTGTCACTTGGGTCTCTAAGGTCGCTTCATTTTAAGCTTGTGGGGAATCTATTTCTCAAACCATAGCTACTGACCAAAATGAGTGGTGCTTCAATAGATAGATGTAAGTTATTCTATTTCCTTAGTATATTGTGATTTTTGTTTACTTCTCTTAGCTTGTTTCTTAATTCTTAATTTTGCTTTGTTAAATCTTTTTGGTTTCTTCTCTTTATATTTGCATTCAAACATTTGTAAAAGAAATCTAGTACACTTAGGAATTTGAGATAATTTTCTCCAGAAAGTTGATTGCTTGATTTTGGAGATTCATCACAATAACAATTCATATATTCTCTGGATGACTTCAAGAATTAGATAACAAAATAATGATTTTCACTCATGTTTTAGTTACCAAGATGTTTATTTTGTTGTGATAGTTTGCATTAGATGACAAAATAGATTTACTTCATTGGGACTCTCATCAGTCAGCGAAACAGAGTAACTAACGGGTCCAAAATTCCCTGGAACCCAATATTAACCAAAGCACTTTCGAGAGAAAAGTTTTGCTATCTTGGAGAAGACATTCGAGTTGTCAAGTAAATGCATTAAGGGGAGTGTTGGAATTAATGCATTTACACCTTTATGTTTATTTTTTTAATATTATCTCTTAGTTTTTCAAGAAGTTTATTAGAATTTTGTAATACACGTATCTCGTAAATTATAATACATGTATCTAGTTATTTGTATAATACCTTTGATTTTGCATTTTTATTAATATGAATAGAGATGTAAAAAAAATAAAAGAAAGAACTTTTCAAGAATGTAAAGTAAACATATTTTTAATATTGTAGGTCCCTTTTAACACTATAGTAAGTCGGGTAGAAATCTATCATTTTAAGCTATTTATTTTTGAGTCTCCAACCTTTTTTTCCCTTTCTACATCCCAATAAATTAACCTTCCCCTCTTGCTTCAATTATTGAGTTGAGAATGTAATGGATTTGCTTCAATTTTTTTATCAGTGTCTTCTTGTAATCGTTTGAAAAGTCTTACATTTGAAAAGAACAAAAAATGAAAGTTGGTCTCTAGTGATAGTGGCGGAGCAAGGATTTTTAATGAAGGAGTTTAAATTTGTAGAATAGACGTACGAAGTAGTCGTAGGCGATTTGACATCTACTATATATACATAAAAAATTATTTTAACCATGCATGATGACACACCCCGAGCCTACACCCTGGACGTGGTTGACACTCAAACACCATTGTTGGCCTCGAGCGGACCCTTGGCCACTTATTTGATCAGCAGAAGACTTAAACATAAGAGATAACTCATGAAAATAACTTAAAAGTAATTACTTAGCCAAAGTGGCAACACGTGTCTTAAACGTTTACAACTGAAATGAATAAGACTAAAGAACTAATATTGCATGTCTATGAAGCCTCTAAAACAAAGAGGGATGTTGGTACATGGCTCCTAAACATCCTAACAACTGAAAACTAGAAAGCAAGAGATAAAAGATATCCTCCGAAATGTAAGGATGTTCACCAACTGACTCTGAGTTGCTCATTGGATCAAGGGTGTGCCGGATGCCGATCCTAGTTACCAGCGTCTGCATCATAAGACGATGCAGACCAACTACCATCAGTACATTTAATGTACGATTATGCGAGTTAGAATGCCAAACACAACTTAATCTAAGGGAACACTTACCTTGGTTGTTCTCAACTCAATGAATAACTTAACTCAATATGAAGCAACAATACACATGCAATATAAATAAAACTTGTAAAACAGTGGAAAACAACTTAATTCATTAAAGAAAATGCAATAACAAACTCAACTTTACTTATATAATGAAATAACATAGTTTTTGTGGGAGATTCTCTAACTGACAACCACCACTATGAGCCTAAGTGGTGATACATCGTCTTGCCCACGCTGCCAGAATTGTCATATACTTTTCCGGCGCATAGAACTACTCAACTTAGTGGATCCACTAGATTAACTTAAGTGATCGTCTAAAAAGTATGATCCTTTAATACCCATGATGGCTACACGGTTCATGGAGACTTGGGTTAATATGAACTTGTATCACCATATCGGTGCTAAATACTAATCCCAAAAATATATTTAGCTCATGTGTTTTTAAAACAACTTCTTTCTTTGTTTTGAGATAATTACTCAAATCTTAGCACAAATGCTCTCTTGGAATCGATGTTCCCTTTCTTGCTCAAATGTGAAAACATTTATGAACTCTTAGGGAATACTTAGTTCCCTTATAACTTTTTGAGAAATGAACTCAACTCTTTACTCTTAACTTAATTTGAAACTTGAATCTTAAAGACAAAGTTAAAACATTGCTAAAGACTCTTGAAAACTTTTAAGAACTTTGCTTTGACTTGACTTGCTTCTTAACTTTTAGACTTGACTTTTAACTTCTTTGACTTTGATCTTAACTTTCCTTGAATTGGATCGGATTCAAGGCTCATGATTTCATGATGTTTAGATGTACCTTAGAGTGTTAGAATCAACTAGAAAACATAGGTACATTCACTAAAGAACTAGTACGAAAAGATGGGGGAAGAATGGGGAGAACTGGTGTCCCTGGCGCTCGAAGAGACGCGGGGCGCCAACCCTCAAACTTCAGAGAGCAAGTTGGGGAACTCTGGCTTGCGTGACGCACCAGAGGCCAAAGTTCAGCGGAACTTTTGTGGCACTTTTGGTCAGCGCGGCACCCCATGTCTTGCCCAGAAAACTCCCCACTTTTCTCCTTCATTTTTCATCTCTAAACCCTCTAATCTTCCATAGTTCTTTCCCCCAAATACTTAGAATCATTAGTACCCTCAACATAACATAGATTTAATGAAATTCACCTGGAAACATGAATCAAATCATCAAGAAACTTCAACAACACAACTATCAAGAACTCAACGAAACTTTCAACGTTGTTCCTCAAGAACTCTCTTTCTTAAACATTCAAAAACTTAAATTCGTTGAATTGAAACATGGTTGGCGCGTGGGTGAACTAACCCAACGCTATGTGATCTCACATATCTTGTAGGGGTCATCCCCGATGAAATCCATAGACAAAGCTCGAATGTTCTTGGTGATTCTTGATTTCTTTCCTCTTTTCTCTTTTTTTCCCTCTCTTCTCCAAGCCCTAGCGTGAATTCTAATTTTTTTAAACTGAACAAAGTCTTGTTACCCCAATTAATTCCTAAAAATGAATTAATGTACTTAGTTAAGGAAAAGTCCAATTTTCCCTTCCCAAATTCGGATTAGACTTTTCTTAATCCAATCGCCCAACTTCCAAAATGCATAACTTATTCATACGTACTGAAAATCGCGTAAACCTGGTGGCATTGAAAAGACCATTCCAAAAGCTCTCCAACCATATCTGGAACTACACTTAACTCATCATGCGCTAGGAGTTTTGGTGTTTGAAGCTGACCAAAAACTCATTTTTAACTTACTTAAAAACTCAGTTTCCGAAATGCATTTATCTCTTGTGCTTTGAGATGTTCCGTATAATTAACACAATGGTTTATTATATATAAAAATAATATTAAATAAACTATATAATACAATTAGCACATGTATTATTTTTTGGCATAATACATAAATATGCTTGTAGGATTCATGTGTCTACTTATTTAATTCTATACAAGTTTGAGTGTCTACTTGTACTGAACCAAAGTTGAAGGGCATAGATATAAAATGAGGTGAATTTAAATGACAAATTTATATATTATGCCTTTTTTTTCTAGAAAAAAAGAGTCTGATATACTTCTTAACTTTGTGATTTAAAGCTGATATAACTCTCCTTAAAAGAGTGGCTTATATATACTTCTATTGTTACATAAATGACTTAAATCATCATTTTCCTCTAAAGAAATTAAAAGAATAATAATTTAAAAAAACTATTTTTGAAAAAACCATTTATGTAGGGATATATTTGATCCTTCTCACATGATTTTTTTGGTTTCTTTGATTCAATGATTAATTTGGATTTATTATTTTGATGATCAAACTTATTTCTTGTAAAATTTAGTATATATGCCCCAATAATTTTTTTCTGGTACAAAAAAAATACATCACATCCAAGAAAAATTGCTTTAATTTTTTCTTTTTTTAAAAAAAAAAAAATCTCAGCTTAATTTCTGTTAGGTTCTAATGTGGAATTAAGAGGGGTAGGTAAGTTGATTGGTGACCATTAAATTTTACCAGTTACTTTTGGTACAACTTGTGTTGTCTTGGTCACCAATCAAATAGTGTGCACATATATACTAGTTTCACGTCCGTGCGTTACATGTGTATATGATTTTTTTTTATGATTTGTGACTTTTTTGATAAGTTGTGACTTCTTCAAATAGTTCTGATTTTTCTATTTGTAGTGACTTTTCAAAGAGTTGTGACTTTTTAAAAGAGTTGTGATTTTTCAATAAGTTGTGACTTTTGCAAAGAGTTGTGACTTTTTCAAAAAGTTGTAACTTTTTCAGAGTGTTGTGACTTCTCGAAAAGGTCATGATTTTTCAGATAAGACACAAAATATTTGTTCATACTACCCTTTTTTGACTATAAATAGAGGGATTTCCTTTCATTTCTCAACCACATTTTTTCTGATCTTCTAGTCTTCTTCTTCTTCTTCTTGCATTTAAAATTTCTTATGTGTGATTTATTATCGTTGATTGAGTTCAAAGTTTAGCAGAATATGAGTTACCATTTTGATGAAGTAAGTCATTCTATCCTAATAGGGTTTATTTCATAACATCGAGTACAATGACAAAATAAATATAATTTTTACGATATAATAATTATTTTTTTACTTAATATATACATTAGTATGTAATGTTTCAATTTATGAAGTTAAAATGATTTTGTCTAAATTCATTTGATTTTATTAACAATTTCTCTTGTGTTGTAGATATACTCTTCTGAATAATTATTTCCAAAATTTAGAGGATTGTGACGATATGTTTTTACGCTCAAGATAAAATAATGATTTTATTTATCAATACTAATTATGTGATTTAGACTCTCAGGAAGCTTGCTTCAAAATAGTTAATACTATACAAACATTGCCCTTTTGTTTTACTTATTTACGATTTCTTAAAATTTCAGTATTTTAGGCAAAAAAAAGTTCATATGACTTGTAATAGCGCTACTTGAAGTTTGTATTAGCTTAATTTTTATTATTTATATATAATCATAAATATCGTTTATTGGCGTTTTGCTGGATTGTTAGTAAAAGTTCAAATATACTGGATAAAGATGAGTCATGGTCATCGTCTTACAAAAAGTGTAGCAAAAAAAGTGAAAGTTATAGAACATATTGTATCTTGTAATAATTGCAACAATGAGAATGTAGAATATGAAATGAGGTTAGACTTAGTAAAACTTGATTCTACATTTACTAATTAGAAAATAAATTAGCTTTAACTTTTAAATGACTCCCGTTTTTAAACAGATATTGGGTACGAGTTGAAGTGTGTGATGGAGAACAACATGTCCGAGTTATACTATTTGAGGCGGCTAAATAACTATGAGACTGCAACGTGCAAGACTACATATAATCAACCATGATAAATATATGAACTCTATTTATACCTACACACCTAAACGCCAAATGAACGCCGTCGCATAGGTAGGTTTTCTAATCTATCCTAACTTTTACAGTTATCTTATTGTGATACTTCATATCACTAAAGGGAAGAAAAGAATTACATGATTACATATATACATAACATTTTGATGATTCTTTTAGTTTTACACATTAGGTTAGTTTTGAAAGATAATGCGCCCATCATGCTGCTGAGAAAACTGGACCCATCAAATGACTTATGCAATGAGACATAGTTGATTTGTAGAGGCTTTGACGAGAATGTCATACATGCAGAAAAAATAACAGGTAAATATGCTAAAAACCAAATGTTTACTCCAAACAATACAACTATAACCACCCCCTTTTCCTTTTTAAATAGATATTACTTACGACTTGAAGTGTGTGGTGGAGAACAATGTACTCGAGTTATACTATTTGAAACCGCTAAATATTTACCAGACTACAGAGTGCAAGACTACATAGAATCGATCTTAGTAAAGATATGATTTGTATTTATACCTAAACACCTTAACGCCAAATGAACTCAGCCGCATAGGTACGATGACTAATTCATCGTAACTTTTACAGTTATCTTATTGTGACACTTTATAGCACAAAAGAGAAGAAAAGAATTAAACGATTACATGTACATAACAATTGATAATTCATTGAATTTATTCATTAGATTTATTTTGAAAGAAAACGCACTCGTCATGCAGCTGAGAAAACTGGACCCCTCAAATGGCTTATGTAATGCTACATGGTTGATTTGTGGAGGCTTTGACGAGAAGGTCATACATGCATAGAAACAAATATTGTCACAAACCTAATGTTCACTCTAAAAATACAAATATCACCCCCCCTCCCCCGCGAAAATGAAATATAAGCTTTCAAATTTATTCAGAAACAATTTCCAATACATCTATGTTTTTGTATGATGAAAAATAAAGTTAAAGGTCAAACGATATCAAATGTAGGGGTATACCTACCATTACATGCTTTCTCGCATGACAAACTACATGTTGCACTATCTAGAGGAATATATATGCCCAAAAAAAAAGTGCATGTCATTAGTGAACAACTAGATTGATGCACCGGTTCATACACAAGAATTACTATCTACAAGAAATTACTAGGTGAGATTTGATTAATATTAAAACTGTAACAAATCAAACAGGAAAAATCATACACCACACATGTAGCTAATGGAAATTATATTGGATGAATTCTTTGGTTTGGTGAAAGAGGAGACGATCTGAAAAACATCAAACAATTACCATATAAGACACTACTTTTGTATGTATAAAGTTATTCAAATACAGGGTACACTAAATTTCAATTATTAAAAGGTAACTTACAATTCATGACACGACATAACTAAGAGGACAAACTGTTAATTTGTGCACAATTACTTACTAACAAGTTGCCTAATAACAATTTAAGAATATGAAGTTTGTCACTACATGCCCAACAAGCAAGAAGGAAAATAGATTGATCATTCACTTAGTATGACATAGTGCAATATTAAATACATATTGATATGTTGAAACCTAAAATATATATATATATATATATATATATATATATATATATATATATATATATAGAGAGAGAGAGAGAGAGAGAGAGAGAGCATGATTGCAAATTTGATATGCTACCTTCGCTCAATTTAAGTGTTCTAGCTTATTTGAGCATAAATTTTAAAAAATAAAAAGAGATTTTTAAAATTTATAATTTCAAATTAGAAATATGTGTTTGTTTTTGATATTGTGATCTTAAACTTTTGATAAATTACGGACAGACTACAAGTATCAAAGAGGTTCTATCTCAATCATGAAGTAAAGTTGTTAGTTTTTGAAGATTGAAAAATTTATCTTGTCAAAATTCTTGTAGGTTTATCACCCAAATAATTATGGATGTGTGACATTATGTAACGATAGAGGACATACAATCTATCCAAACATTGTATTCATTAAAATAATAAAATACGACAATACAACACAATATATTGTGAAACAATACGTAATAATTATCCAAACAAAGTATAAATATCAGTTGTATGAGACACATATATAATCCTTATTACACGTCAGCCAACTTGCTGTAAGCCTATAGGACAATTGATGAAGTCATTAAATATTTAATTCTACACCATAACCCAAAGGTTCCTTTAAGGATGCATTCACTTAATTAATTAATCATCCATTGGGACCTAAATTGAGCCCATGGTGCTAATGTTTTGAAGAAGACTTACTGGTATTGTCTTTAATTTTGCAATTAGTAACAATAATGTCTCAATTATGAGAAAAAGAATAGGGAAAATGCATTAGTATCCCTAACATATGACCGAAATTCTATAGACACACTTACATCATACTAAGGTTCTATTACTCTCCTCCCCAATTTCTAACCCTTTCTGCCTACGTGGCACTATCAACCAGATAGCTTGAAAAAATTATCAACACGTGTTGACCCAGAATATAGTGCCACATATGCCAAAAAGGAGTAGAAAATTAGTTATAAAATAAGTTCGGGGTAATAAGACCTTAGTATTGTATAAGTATGTCTCTGAAATTTTGGGCATAGATTGCAGGTACTTATGCATTTTTCCCAAATAAATATGAAACGAGAACTACTAATGTTTACTCTTTCTATTCTCAATCTCTGTAATATATCAACAAATGCTTCTTTTTATTTTATCAGGCAAAGTGCGATATTATTATATTTTAAGTATTTAGTTGACAAAGATGTGAGTTGAAGGTTCTAGGTGATAAACGGAGTTAAGTACATGTGTCTCTCAGGTCATTCCGCATTTCATATTAAGCTCTTTTATTTTTGAATAGTCAAGAAACCACACTCCATTATTCTTTTGTGGGCAAAAGCAGGCCGACTCAACAATATTGGGGGCCTAAAGCGAAACCTAAGAGAGGGGCCCTAATTTTTTTCATCATATATACTTTTATTTAATATCTACTTTTTTAGCTATTTTAGATGTGAAGTCATTAGATACTGTATTATAATCAATTTGTTTTTATAATTCATTTTCAAATGAGGATATATCTAATTTATTAAATCTCTCTTTAGACATTGCTTGATCTAAGAAGATTTAACCAATTTTAGTTTCGCAAAAAACTTCTTTCGGATGAGGCAACAGTTACATGAACTGTTAACATTATTCTATAAGTAATATGTGTTTTTGGGAAAAAATCAAGTCTTTTTATTTGTGAGTATTTTAACACTTTTAATTTAAAAAATAAATATAAACCATCAATACCAGAATAACTATAACATGATAAAGAAAGTTCAAGGTTAAGACAATATTTTTTTAATTCTCATCATCTAGTGATCTCAATATTTTATCACTAAATAAGAAATAAAAAATATTTACATATGTTTCAATTGGTTCAAATCTAATTTGAAGTGAAAAAATAGTTTGATCTACTCTATCAAAGGCGACTCAACATATTTGGGGGCCTAAAGCGAAATTTTAATTTGCGGCCTAAAATGTAAATACACTTCATTTACGTATTTATTTTAAAAAAATTATACTATTAAGATGAAAATTATTAGTACTTAATATTATTTTTTTAGTTACTAGTTTTAAGTAAAATTTTATCAAACTCAATATTGAAAAACGTCTTTAAGTGAGACAATTATTATATATATTGTTAACACAATGATACAAGTAATAAGTTCATAAATATTAAATAAAGACAAGAGTTAGAACCATAAAATTTGACTCAAAAAGTTGATGACTTGGTATAACCTCATTTTAATATGCTTAGAGTAATGCTTGAAACTAAAATTTGACAAAAAATAAAAAAGAATTTGTAATTCACTTTATGACACTTTTCACTGTTAATTCTCATTTTTAACAAAGTACAAAAGATGTTAAAGCGGATAAAATAATTTATTTTTAAATAAATTATACTTTTTATCATAAATAACTAAATTTTTTTATAAAAATTTTAACACATAATTTATTCTTGACAAAAATTTGAGACCCCCGAAATTTGGAGCCTAAGGCGAAGGCCTTATTATTTAATGCATAGAGCCCGCTCTGTACTCTATACATGTAAAACAATAAATTCTAAAAGGTTCTTCAAGGGACTTTGCGATATCGCTATCCAAATTTTCATCATATTGTTTCTTACGAAATTCAGGTTTATTTTCATCTCATATACAATTCTTTTAGTAGAAATCATAACACTCATACACGCTCATTTAGAGATGATATACCCCTTGTTATAAAAGTGGCTCATATATGCCCCTACTTGTAAACAAATGGCTCACATATACCCTTTTCCTCTAACGGAAATGAAAAAATAATAATTTTCAATCTAAATTTTTATTATTTTTTTCTAAAAAATATAATCCCATATGAGTAAATTTAATCCTCGTCAAACATATTTTTTTTGACTTTTTTTTGTTTCAATGACTAATTTATAATTATTATTTTGATAATCAAATTTATTTATGTTTCACTAATAATCTTGTAAAACTTATTGTAGATGACCAAATTTTTTTCAAATACGAAATTAAATTACAATACACACAAAAAAATAGGTTAATTTTTTTTCTTTAAACTAAGGAATGAAAGAAAAAAAATAAAATAAGAATAAGAAAATCAAATAATTATAATAAAAGAAGTCAAAAAGATAATTTCTGTATGAAAAAAATTAAAATATAACTTGAACTTTTATAGAAGAATCATATATTCCACTAAATATTTTTTTTAAAAAATTAATAAGTAATAAATATAAATTTAAAACTAATTATTTAAAATTCCGTTAAATGAATGGTATATGTGAGCCATTTTGTAACGGCAGAGGTAAATGTGAGCCGTTTGTATAACGGTAAGGGTATATATGAGCCACTTTTATAACGAGGGGTATATCAGCTCCAAATGACAAAGTTGAGAGGTATATCAGACCCTTTTCCCATATATATATAAGTAATTGTTTTTTTGGGAAAATGGTCTGATATATCCCTCAACTTTGTCATTTGGAGCTGATATACCCCTTGTTATAAAAGTGGTTAATATATGCCCTTACCGTTATACAAACGGCTCACATATACCCCTGCCGTTACAAATGGCTCACATATAGCCTTCATTTAACGGAAGTTTAAAAATTAGTTTTAAATTTATATTTATGGCTTCTAATTTTTTAAAAAAAATTATTTAGGGGTATATATAATTCTTCTATCAAAGTTCAAGGTATATTTTATTTTTTTCATATATAAATTATTTTTTTGACTTCTTTTATTATAATTATTTGAATTTCTTATTTTTATTTTGTTTTTTTCTTTCATTCCTTAGTTTAAAGAATAAAAAATTAAACTATTTTTTTTGTGTGTATTGTAATTTAATTTCGTATTCGAAGAAAAAATTTGGTCATCTACAATAAGTTTTACAAGAATATTAGTGAAACATAAATAAATTTGATTATCAAAATAATAATTATAAATTAGTCATTGAAACAAAAAAAAAGTACAAAAAAAATAATGTTTGACGAGGATTAAATTTACTCATATGAGATTATATTTTTTAGTAAAAAAATAAATAAAAATTTAGATTAAAATTATTAATTTTTTTCATTTCTGTTAGAGGAAAAGTGTATATGTGTGCCATTTGTTTACAAGTAAGGGTATATAAGAGTCACTTTCATAACAAGGGGTATATCAGCTCTAAATGACAAAGTTGAGGGGTATATCAGACCCTTTTCCCTTGTTTTTTTAAAAATGGAGCCCAATGTGATGATTTTAGTGACCTAGGAATTAATACGGTCATGGGCAAAAGTAGATACTTAAACTTGTATAAAATGTACAAATAGAGGCACGCATCCTACGTGGTATCCTACATGACAATTTGCATCCTACGTGGCGTCGTACGTGTTTTATGCCACGTAGGACTCATGTGTCTACTTATTCAACTTTATACAAGTTTGAGTGTGTGCTTGTGCAAAACCAAAGTTGAAGAGCATAAATATAAAATAAGGTGAAGTTAAAGGGCACATTATAATTTATGCCTTATTTTTTTCTAGAGAAAAATATCTGATATACTTCTTAACTTTGTGTTTAAAACTGATATAACTCTCCTTAAAAGAGTGGCTTACATATACTTCTACCGTTAAATAAATGACTAATATGTTTCATTCTCCATTTATTCTCTGTAACTGTTCATACTCTGAATTATTAATATATACCCCACCGCCGTGGAAGTTTACCCACGGGGTGTTACCACGAAATATTGGTTTCTCTCCTTCTCTCTCTATATCTCTCATCTCTCTCTCGTAAGTTCTTGTGTTCTTCATTCATCAAGCGTGTGTGTGTGGATTCGATCCTAACAAGAGAGAGATCAGATGATCGCAAAATTAATATACTAACTTTGCTCAATTTAAATGTTCTAGCTTATTCGAGCACAAATTTTAAGAAATAAAAAGAGATTTTAAAATATGTATATT